TAACAAAATCATCAACAGTGAAGGCGTTAAAATGAAAAGAATTATGTGCCTTCAAATTTTGTTCTCTGTGTCTTGTTCAGTGGAGGCACAACATGTTATTATGGTATGGAGGCTTGCAGTGACTTATGCCTTACTAAGAATTACTTTCTTTATTCAGTCATGGCCTTGTATGGCTAGAAGTCCCTCAGGCTCACCAAAAAAAAAAAGGAAAAAAGTTCATGTTGTCAAGAGAACCTGGAGTCCCTCCAAAAGGTGCCCCATTGATTCAAAAGCCAGACACTTCTTTGTCAACAAAGGCATCCCACGGCGAAAAGTCTGGAGGATAAATTGCACTTGGCTCATCGGTAAGTCTTAATCACACACCCTGTTTATTTGATTCTTACTGAAACTAATGTGAAGTATCAGCAATTTTGCTTCTGAAACAGAATCCATTGATTTAATTTTGTCATTTTTCTTTTCAGTCGTGTAATCAGAAATTCATTCACGTGAGGAAAAAGCAGTTAAAACTTATGGAAAAATGCCAAAGAAAGCGGCTGTCTGACTGATTGCTTTTTGGCAGAGGCTGAGATCAAGATTTACCAAGGAAAGCCCACGTATATGACCCAAGAGGAAGTTACAGAGCTCAAGAGCATTACTAAGCCTGGAAACTGGAATTTCAGTTACCTTGCAAGGTATTTCAGAAAAAATCACATATATGCAAACATAAGGCTGATGCATCACTGTGTTGATTGTAGGGTGGTTTCTAAAACAGCTTTACTCTGATTTCTAAAGCAGCCAGGGAAAATAAGATAACAGAGAGCAAGTAACTTACCTTTTTGAGACCCAATCTTGAGCAAATGTTAGTTCTGGCCTGGATTCAGCTACCTAGGGCAGAACAAAAGAGAAAGTGAAAGGTTCTCTCGATCAGGTGTTTCCCAGGATGGAACTTAAAAGCAGCTCTGTTATCCTGTCTGCTCTTTAGTCTGCAGTCTTGGATCAAACTTTCTGGCACTAGATTTAAAAGCATCTTCAGAATACCAGAGTGCTCACATTTAGCTCCTTTCTTGAATCCTTCTATCATTTCCTGTGTTCTTTGTGTGTATGTCTGTTCCTTCATTCAACTGTAATCAGATTTGAAACAGGCTGTATCTTACTCTTCTTTGTATCTTCTTTCTTCAACCCTTTGATAGTATTTTGCTTATATGCAGTATATTTTTGTTTGTAAAATAAAAATATGGTTAGAGGCACATATAGATTCAACACAAATACAAATTTGAATACAAATACAAATTCTCCAATGTTTCAATTGCTGCTTTGAAAATGATAGGAGATTGTTAGGTTTGTGGAGTGACTGACTTCTTGTTTTTAATTTAATGGGTAGTATATTTATATTTAAAGTGCAAATAAAAGTTGTTTTTAAAGGATTTTGATATATTTTTGTCTCTAAAAGAGAAAACAGACCTATTGCAATATATGTAAATCAAAGTAAATCTAGAAAGAGTCAAAGGCGTTATTTCACGCGAAGAGAATAGTTGTAGTAGCTATCAATACCTTAAAGTCTCCATATATTTATAAGCTGTATGAAATGTTCTTCATCTTCATAGCTGCTACTAATAGAGTTGGACTTATGAATGAGGGAAAAAGTGTCTGTGAATGATAACATCATTTTTCTTCTTTTGTCTTTCTCTTATGCCAACTGATGGTATACTATACACACCTGTAACTTGCCTTTTTTTTGAACTCCTTCCATGTTAGCTCATTAAAAAAAAATGCTTCTTTCTTTTAAAGGGTTGGATAGGTAGAAGTTACTAAGTTACCGTCTTTCACTTTCAATCTTACCTTTCGGGCTGTGCAGATCCTTTGGATCCTGCTGACTAACTCCCTCTAGGTCTGCTAAGAGAGGACACTAGAGACCAGAATGCCTGCTTTCACTCGCTTTTTGCTCTCAGCAGCACCTTAATGATGACTGTTTTCTCCATGGTAGTAGTTGGTTCAGTCTCCAACTTTTTCTTTCTTTTCTTTTCTTTTTTTTCTTTTCTTTTCTTTCTTTCTTTCATTCACTCTCTCTTCCTTCCTTCCTTCCTTCCCTCCCTTTCTGTCATTCCCAGGGGCAGCCTCACTTTGTTCCCTAAGAGGCACCAGTACCAGCTGGGCAGAGGTCTCGCCAACTCCCTGAGGCCTCTAGGGCAAACCTCTGTGTTTCAGTAACATCAACATTTCCCTTTGCTTTTCCAACCTCAGGGGTGTGAGCTGCTTTCTGGAATTACTATCCTGTTTCTCCTTTTAGCTTTTCAAAGTTCTCTAGTAACTCATTAACCAATAGTTTATGTTAAGCTTTCTTTTTGGAAATGCCTCTGATAGTTTCAGTTTTCCCAGCCAGACCCTGATGGATATAACACTTGACACCAGAAGCGGGTCTGACCCACCTGGACCTGCTGGGGTGGAAGCCCTAGGGAGCAGAGCGGCCTGCACTGTCATCTGGGCCTGCTGCATAGCCTGTTCTTGCTCTGGGCCCTGGAGGAAACACAATACATCTAACTAGTCCCCTGCAGATGGACATTTAAGTTGTTTCCAATACAGTAAACAACCTTCAATAGATAATTTTCACATATGGGCAAGTATATTTATAAGATAAAGTTATAAAAGTAGAATTGCTGGGTCAAAGGACTGCAAAATTGTCCTTCATTAGAGGTGGTACCAATTTAATCTCTCACAGATAATTAAGAGAAATCTATTTGCATGAGAAACAGAGACATCAACAAAGGGAAGAGGGAGCCAGGTATGACACTCTCGTCCTAGGAAGAGAGGCTTGGCTGTGGAAGGGAGAAGCTCATCTAGAATAGAATGTCATAGAATGACACAGAATGAAACCTATCACTTGAGGATTACTTTCTGGCCCAGGCTCCATGGAATTCCCTTTGGAGAGAGGGAAGGCTGAAATACAAATGGAAAAACCCTCCATGACACTTTGATACTCACTTAATAGAGGGTAACACAAAAAGGAGAGGGAGGTGCCTTGTCACAGATCACCAGCAGGACTGGGCAGTCGGAGGACGCTTCATGCTGTGCCCAGTGGAGGCTCAGTACTCAGCACTTGTGGCTGTGGTGGCCAGCAGCAAGAGTGACACATGCAGATGTGTGGCTACTGAAATGAGAGGCAGTGTTGCCCTGCGTACTGTATGTGGTAGCTGTAAGCACATGTGAGACACCTCCCGGGACTCCCCCAAACACTTGGGTGGAACTTTGTAGGTGCTGGGTCTGTTTCTTGCAGTAGTAGTGTAAAAGCTGGTAAAACACAGGCTATAGGCTCATATACTAAGGTTGTCCCTTTTTGCATGTCTACGTCTTTGCCTCATAAACTTGAGGAGGCTTTCATTTAAGAATAACAAAGCAAAGTACTCTTCTTCCTTGAGTCCCTTTAGCACCTCTCAGCCAACCCCGGTTGTGACTCCGTTATTTTTCCCATCTGCCGCTCTTGTCCTTTATTCCCTTCTCAGCAGAGCCCTACTGCAGTTACCATGGTCCTTGTTTAGCAGACAGGCTACATTCTACATGCCTGCTTTTACTGACTTCGCCTCAGCCTTCTGTCCTAACAAAGCTGTATATACAACCAGAGCTGTGTTTTTCCTACTCTGTGCAATCTGGACTGTTTTCCTGAAGAGGACCTCCTTCAGTTTATGTTCCGCTGTGTCTTGTTGGTGCCATTCTCAATTTACACGACAGAGATGCTGTCATCACCAATTAACATTTATCAAGGGCCCCCTGGATGCATGGCCACATAGGGGCTAATTTAATATTCTCTTTGTTTCAGGTATCAGGTGGCTCTTTCAAATGAATTTTTAAGTATCTCAGTGATGATGAAGAAGAACAGAGACATCAATTAGGATTCAGGAAGACAAGTCTTTGCAGAAAATGCTTAGAGCATCAAGGATTGTTATTAATATTTGAAAGTTTAAAAGAGGGTATACTTTTCTTTAGTCAACAAATGACAAAAGTAAAGGCACTATTTTCACTGTTCCTGGAAGAAGCTGGGCAGTATTCCATTCAGACATCTGCCCTGTGATCGTCCCGTTTTCCTCTTTATTTCAGTCCTTCTAATCTCCAAGGGTGAGTCCGAATATTTCTTCCTGAGGCTTCTTTTAATCATCTCTACCCTTAAGGACAACTCCCTCCTCCAACTCCTGTAGCCCTTATCATCATACCTGCCATTTGAAAATTTAGCACAATGATACATTATACATTATTGAATAAATATATGTTCATTCTCTGCAAGTATGTTAGAGAACTGTCCGGACAATTTATTTCTTTCCCAGCACAGTGTTCTGTCAATGGGAGAATCTCAAAAAATACTTACTGATGATGATGGCAAGTCTATTGAAATTAGATGCAATTTTATTTTTTTAAATGAATGAGAGGAGAGACAACGCTGAAGCTTTAGAAGCTGAGACTCACAAGCATCATTAATGTTTTCTAATATTAAGAACTATACTTTTTTTTTTTGCGGGGGCGGGGTAGTGGGAGGCAAAAACATCACTGAAAGTAAGCAGTTTATCTTTCAAGAGTAAATATTTTTTTTTTTTTTTTTTTGGCCTGCCTAAGCAATACTTCTTTTTAGCCTATCCCTTTTGATGCGACAGTAAGTGATGTAACATGGCTGTCAGTTGTAGGACCTGATATTCAGGAGAACAGACCTGAACATTCTCATTTCAGAAAAAGAAAACATTTCGGTTTCGTCACAGATTTGGAATTAAGAACACACCTTCATGTTTTCTGACGTCACGAACCCGGCCCAGCGAGGCCGGTGACATACGAATCCCACCGGCAGGTACACCTACAGCCGCACACGACCCTCAAAACCAGCAGCCGCTGAGCTCTCCCCAGGACGAAGCTCCCGCGGGGCCCCACCCACCCGGTTCCGGGAACCTCATTGGCTAGTCTTCCGCCCGCCATTTCTGTTAGTCGCCGGGATTTGTCACGGGAGGCGGGCGTCCCCCATTCGGGCACTGATTGGTCGAATCTTAATGACGGCAAGAAGTTCTCGGGGTCTCTATTGGTTCTTAAACCTCAGAATGGGCGGAGAAAGGCAGAGCGTAGGGGCTCAAGGAGGGAAGCGCGGAGTGCGCCGGCGCGTAGTCTGGGACGCCAGGCTGAGGATTTTGCTAGGGAACCGACTGTTGTCGCCCCGCCCCCTCGGGGCTTTTTGTCCCGTTAACTGTCGGAGGAGTAAATTTAGTGCCGAGCGACAGGCGCGCGCTTCAGGTGAGGCTGTGGTCTCCAGATCCGTTGGGGGGGGGGGGTCATGAGGGAATGGGTGCAGGCGGGGCTGGCTTTCTGCGCGGCGCTCCTGGGCCCCGCAATGCCTGTCAGCTCCCGAGCCTGCTTGCCAAGATCCTGAGGGATGCTTGCTTCCTCCACCTAGCTCCCTCTCCGCTCACACACATTTCCGAGTTGCAGTATGGAGGCGTTTGGTGGTGTTGAGAGAGATTGATTTTGGAGGGCACAGGGGAGTGGTGATGGAAGGAGGGCGCTTTGTAATGGGATCTAAGGTGGCTTCAGATTGGGACACCTGTAGCCCATCTCACATCTCAGCCTTTTACCCTCCGCCCCCTACCTGCCCTTTAAAACTTTAAAGTGCCTATGTCTTTTAAAGGATCGAGAAATGGGACCCTGGCTAGGTAAAGATAGGGTGTAAGAAATATACAGTTTTCATAGTTGTGCGTAAGTTTCAGGTAGGTGGTAGGTGTCAGGGTCAGGCACCCATCAGCATAACAGTTGACCACAGCCTTCCACAAACCCTGTTTTATTCTTTTATCTTAAGGGCTTGTATCCAGAATGGGACGGGAATTCGTCTTTGGTTGACTTTACAACATTTCGAGAGGTACTAGGCCTAATACCTGATACTGTGTACTCATTGCCGGCGTAATCAGTAAGGATAATTATAGCGATGGGGATTTAGATTGTCACCTGTTATCAGACAAGAGCTCAGGCTTTGGAACCAGACAACCAGCAAAAAGGTAGCTGCTCAGGGAGTCGGATTCCTGCCAGCATCTGCCTCAAGTGGTTGTGAGGATTAAAGGATAGAAGACATGTGAACTGCTTAGCACAGGGCTGGGTAAATATTAGTTGTTATTAGGGAGCTCTTCTGTGTTTATCAATCTCCAGGCTTTCAACTCATGGTTGAACTCATCGTTCCGAAATTATTTTACTGATGTCTTTTTTTTAAAACAACGTCCATTAATTGCGTTGTACTTAAATTTTATTTTGTATCTCAGGGGCTGAGTGAATACCAGAGAAACTTTCTGTGGAAAAAGTCATATTTGTCAGAGTCCTATAATCCCTCGGTGGGGAGAAGGTACCCATGGGCTGGACTTAGATCGGATCAATTAGGTAAGCTGAACAAACTAATAGTCGTTGTAACTTAAATAAAGCTTGGGGTTAAGTTTGCAAAAATGATGAAGATTTGTGAAGCATTGTTCCATTGGTCTGGTTGACATATTTGTTTAACAGCTATTTACTGAGGGCTTGCTATAGGCCAGGACTATTCCCAGCTTCTAGGGACATAGCCTTGAATCAGACAAAGACCCTTAATTGTGGGCAAAAAAAGTAAACAAGTAACTCAATAAATAAACTAGGGGACTTCAAGTTGTTATAGGCTAGCATATAGATAACTTGTGGGGAGGGGTGGGTTGGAGGGAAGCCACTTTAGCTTCAGTGGTCAAGAAAGGCCTTTCTGAGGAGTCATACTTGAGCTGAGATGGGATGGCTGAGAGCAGTCAAGCCTGGGGAGGTGTTCTCCCAAGGTCTTGAGGAAGGGAAACTTAGATTAAGTAGCTTGCCCAAAGTTCATAGCTAGTAATGGCAAAACCATGATGTGAAATCAAATCTGTTTTGTTGAAAGCCCATGAGTTCAGAGGCTGTATTTTTGTCATCACACATGTTTCCTCCTGGTATCCCAGGGAAGTCAGCCCTAGGCCAAGGTTTCCCAGAGAACAGTGCAGAGGAAAAGAAACAGAGTGACTTTATCCTACCTGCCTGTTTCACTGGCCCGCACTAGAATAGAAGATCTCGAAGAGCAAGGGCTCTGGTTGTCTTCCTGCCTAGTAGATGACACCTCCTCCAGTGCTTATGCAAACCAGTGTTTGAATGAATGAACGTGAGTTTGGACCTCCATTAGCTTTGATCTTGGGAAAATTTGCCCTCTTTTACCAGGTGGGGTTTAGGAAGCCCATTGCACAGGATTGCTGGGAGGGATTAAATGAGATATTCCTTGTTAAGGGGCAGGTGCATATATACAGATGAGTGCTTGGGGCCTCACATGTGAGCATGCTTTATGCATGGTATGTATGTCCCTCAAATATTAGATATTTGAAGCCAAGAAAAGAAAAGACGTATGAGAAATAAGCATAATTTTCCCAAGCCTAGGAAATTAGTAAAATGAGGAGAGGGTTTCTGGGATTAGATTTGGAGAAAAAAAGGGAAAAGTGGGCTAGAGTCAGTGGCTCTCGGTTCCTCTGAAGCATCAGGATCCTTTGCCCAGAGCCTGACTTCAAACACTGGATGTCTCTGCTTCTTGGGCAAGATGGTGCTCAGTCCTCCAAATGACTCGAAATTCTACAAATTTGAGACTCTATTAGATTAATACAAAATAAATCTTAAAGTATATATATCCCACTGATGGCCTGTTATGATACTGCGGAATTGGTTAACCAGACTGTTGTGCCCATAACATTGTAGCTTAGATCAGTTACATTTGAGGGTGGGTATGTTGAGACAAGACTGGGAGCAAAGCCACTTTAGAGTATGGTACATTATGAAAGCAGGAATGGTCTGGGGAGATATGTGAATGGGAAATAATTAGATTAGGGGGAGGGGCAGAGTGAGAACTTCAGAAAGGCAGGTGGGAGGAATAACAGCCATTTTACCTAGGACTGGCTGGGTGTTCTGTTAACAGTGTATTTTTTCCCCTTAGTGTATTTTTGCTGGTGCTCAGAGATTATGGCAGACCACTTGAGAATCTTCCCCTTTCATTTTGCTCTTCTACCAGAAGCCTCTCTGTGTTAAAACAGAGAGAAGTCTAGAGCAATGGTCTTCAAATTTTTGCTTTCATATCCCTTAAAAGTATTTAGAAAGTCTTTGCATCCTTTCACATTTTTTTTAATGTTTATTTATTTTTGAGAGAGAGAGCGAGAGAGGGCATGAGCAAGTGCATGTGTGCGAGCGGGGAGGGGCAGAGAGAGAGTGGGACAGAGGATCCAAAGTGGGCTCTGTGCTGACAGCAGAGAGCCCTATGTGGGGCTCGAACTTGTGAACTGTGAGTTCATGACCTGAGCCAAAGTTGGTGCTTAGCCAACTGAGCCATCTAGGTGGCCCTCACATTTTTAAGTTGACATTTAATTTTTTTAATCATAAGTGTAACAAATTCAGTTTGTAACAAAGTGAAATCAAAGGATGTGATTTCTGGCATATGGAATATCATGTATATGTTTCACTTACGTTCTGTTAAAACTTTGGAGCAGCCAATATAGCTGATTCACTTTACGGTGAATGTTCATCATATAAGTGGTAAAGTTAGTCCTCATTGGCAAACTAATCAGGCAAATTAGAATTATTTGCTGTGAGAACAAAGTCTAACTTTATTTTTCAATCCCTATAAATGTGTTAACATGTGTTAACATATATTCATTTCGCATGACAACCCTCTTACCCCCGAGTTTTAATTCTAAGATAGTTAGATGGGAAAAGTGTGAAGATGGGTGAAATAAGGCACTGTTCTTTTGTTATTTGTCATCTCTGCCTTCTTTGCTTTGCTGTCAGGTACTCTCTCTTGGTAGTTATACTTTTTTGAATTGTCCCTTTGTCTTTCCCACCTACGAGAATTTTTTATTCCTTGGGGCTGGCTGAGAGGTGTGTCTTCCTTTTGTGAAGTGGGAAGGCGGGGGTGGGAACGAAGACTGCAGACAGCAGGTGCAACTCTCAGGCAGACCAACATTGGGATAATAGTGCATACAGAGTTAAGATCTGCAAAATGATTCCCTTACGCGGCCTGTTTCTGCTTATCCCCTAGAATGTCTCCATATGCCTCCAGACACATATGCACCCAGTTTGAAGACCACTAATCTAAGGAAGTCTTGTAAGGGAGGGGACCCTGGGTTCCATGGCCAAATCATCCTTGACAGAGGCTAAAGAACTCATGCCAGATTTTCAGTCCACCTTTCCTCTCCTTCCCTCTAGTCTTACTCTTTCTTCCCCACCCTGCTAAGTCTTCTTTCTATTTAAAGAATGGCCCCAAACTAGGACAGTGTCTCAGTGGCTGTCATTCCACAGAGCTCCTCTTACTTGGGTAGAAGGTTAAGTTTTTTGGACATTTGCTTGCCAGACAGAAACATAGAGAAATAGTATCTTAGCTCTTGTTAAAAGGGTTCATTCTCTTTAATTCTCAGGAAATCAAGGCAAATGTAGAACCAAGATCCAGCATAATGACATCTCATCCCTTCTCACCTTGGTCTACTGTGCATAAGAGAAGCTTTGTGAAAAGTTCCAAATTTTGACAGTACCAGGGCCCATTGTTCTGTTAAGTAGCACAGGAAAGTAATTAGAAACGGAGGCAACATGTCCTGCTGGCTTTGCCAGGCCTGTCACGTTGCGATTCTAGTGACTTGTGTTGGGGTAACTCGAACATTGTGACCCCAATTTTTAATTTTTTTATGTCAAAAAAATGTTAATACTTTTTAAAAGCAAAATTAAAGATTTTATGTTGAAGAACGAACTATACCTATTTTTTTTTTTTTTTTATCTTGCAACTTTAAGGACATTGTGTGTATCTCACCTGGGATTTTTCAGTTCCATTTCTCCTCTCTTAAGTGTTATTAAAAGTTGTCTTTGTAACTTTATGCTATGGCAGAGCTTTATGGCAATTTCTGTATACTATATTTTGTAGGAATCACAAAAGAGCCAAGTTTTATTTCAAAAAGAAGAGTCCCTTATCATGATCCACAAATTTCAAAATCTCTTGAGTGGAATGGAGCTATCTCAGAGAATGATATTGTATCACCAAAACCTGAAGCCGCAGAAACAGAATTACAAGAAGCAGAACAAAAAGAAGATGTTAACCAAGAAAGAGTTCTTGCACTAGAAGCCTCCAGGGTTCCCAAAAGAACCAGGTCTCACTCTACAGACTCCAGAGCTGAAGGGGCTTCAGATATTGTGGAAAATAATGAGGATGTAATAGAAGGTCATATACCGGTTAATGAAAATGAGGAACTGGAGCATTCTACCAAGCTGCTTTCAGAAAATGTAGATAATGGGGTAGGTATATTCACAGTATTTCTTTTCAAAAGCGTAGAATTCTTTGTAAATGTCATCATTTCACTAATACTACATTTTATGCTTAAAAATTTTCCATTGTTTTATTTTTTTAATCTGATGTCTTATAGAATAGTTAAGAGGCTGTTGACTTTAGTTATTATGAGTTCTATTCTTTTTTTTTTTAATTTTCTTTTTAATGTTTATTTTTGAGACAGAGAGAGACAGAGCATGAGCGGAGGAGGGTAGAGAGAGAGAGGGAGACACAGAATCTGAAGCAGGCTCCAGGCTCTGAACTGTCAGCACAGAGCCTGATGTGGGGCTCAAACCCATGAGCTGTGAGATCATGACCTGAGCTGAAGTCGGACACCCAACCGACTGAGCCACCCAGGTGCCTCTTATGAGTTCTATTCTTAATAGTTGCCAGTTTGTACTGGTTATACTAAGATATCTCTTCATTGGATGGGCAGCCTGCCTCTGGATTTTATTCATCAAATATCAGCACCAGAGTCCTAAGGGAGAGATCAAATTGAGACAGAGAAGGGGAGTAGTAAGCCATTACCTCTGGCAGGGGTGGTGAGCTGACTTCTACCTAGGCCCTTTTCAATTTCTTATTGTGGACACAAACAACATCTCAATTGACAGAGTGCAAAAGGAAGGGCAGTTCTGGCAGGATCTCAAAGATCTTGGAGTTCTGCTCTCCTATGTCACACCTGGCCTGTGGAACATCCCTGCAAGCACATAAGCATAGGCTTTGGGGACCTGTGCAGACATCTCGCCGCCTCCCACATTTTTCTCCAGTCCACTACCTCTTCCCCATTTCGTGTCCACTGTGGACTGGAACCACGGAGAGGCATTCAGAAGTGTTGGTGAAGAATCTGTGGCTCGTTGCGAAAACCAGGGGGTACAGTAGAATCGAGGAAGGTGATGTGTAAGTGGTGGGCAAGGGAAGGGGTGTCGCAGAAGCAATGTGTGAATAAGGCAAGGTGCTGCTGTTTCTTAGTCATAGATTTAATTGTGAAAAATTGGTAGGAAGAGACTGAGAGGTGCTATCTTTTTCTGGGATGCACAATGATTCATTGACAATATTCAGAAAGAAATTTTAAATAGTTTAAAAGAGAGATCATCAATTAAAAAGTTTGCTGTACAACGGTGTGCATGTAATTAACAATACTGTATACTTAAAAATTTGTTAAGAGGGTAGATTTCATGTTATACGAAATATGTTATAATGTCTTTTTGGTTTTTGTTTTTACCGCAGTAAAAGTTTGAACAGAAATTTTTAATGACTGTGGGTGGGGTTTTTCTTTCCCTAACAGTTGAATAGAGTTCTTCGGAAGAAAGCAGGACTGACTGTTGTTCCTTCACATGATATCTTGAGAAATTCTGAATATCAAAGGCAGTTTGTTTGGAAGACCCCTAAAGAAGCTGCTCCAGTTTTTACAGCCAATCAGGTAGTTGAATGGATGTAATATATTTTTAAGTATCATCCTCTGATCTAGTAATGCAGATTTACACAGAAATAAGGGCTAAAAGAAATTAGGTACTTCTTCAGTGATCCTGGAGGTAGGTTCTAGAAAAGTGAAAATAAGAGTTTTTCTAACATCCTTCTGTTACTTCGATCTATAGTAGTAACATGACACTATCCTAGGCCACTGATGGTCACTGTTGCCAGATCCATCACGTACGCTCAATATGAGACAGGGTAATGAAGCATGAGGACTGGTAAGTTATTGCATGCTGCGAGATTTTGTTTAAAAAAAATATTAAATTGCTTTTATTCTAAAATACTGTGTTTTGTTGACTAATATGTTGCATGTTTTCTGTCTGATAAGAAAGGCATAACTACCCTGAATATTTTAAGAAAATACAAAATATGTTAAAAATAATACAAGATACATAATCTTGTTTTTGTACCAAGTGAGCAGTAATAGAAATTGTCATTTTGATGACATTTATAAACTTCAAAAGCTATGATGGTACCTAAATGTGCTCCTAGATTTCTTTGTATCTTGTACCGTTTTTTGGTGCTCGACCACCATTACTAATAAACACTCAATATTTTACTACTGTCATCCTCTAGACAGTTTTTAGGCTCTTAACTCTCATTTATATTCTTAACCATCCTTCTGGGCCTGGGTAAGGAAATACTTGCATTTAGAATATCTTCAGAGGCCCAGGACAGCCTAGACTTTTCTTCTTCTAGATCTTTGCATTTTCTTTATGAACACATACACATCCCTTCATACACCCTTATGGCTCATTTTCTCCTGTATCTCAACATTCGTTTGTAAACTTTATATACCCCTCAGGACTGAGAGGGTAGATTCAACAAGACAATAATATCAGTCCTCTTACACTAATGTAATAATTCTAGTGATCCTAAAAATTGTGGCAGCTTTGGGCTTACTTGTTATTCAGGTTTCTAAAAAAACTGTGAAATTTGTAGAACATTTTAGAAGCATATAAAATAGCTAAGGCAACATATGTCCCCTTCATGAACCCAGTAGAGGATCAGTACTTCTTTTGTTGGCTCACAAGTGTTCTTGGATAGTAAGTGTGTGTATCTACAAAATCACTCCCTGAAAATTGTAGCTGTTCAGTTTTTGTAGAACATTTCATCTTTAAGCTAAAGCTAATTCAAATCAAAGCCCCATTGACAGCTTTTATATATTTCAGTGGAGACATTGTATAGAAAAGCCCTTTTTATAGGACCAAAGTATAATATAAAATAAATCATTAGCAAACCTTCACTAGTAGTTTTATTGCTTTCATTAGTGGGAGTTTCAGAGAATTTGGGGGGAAAGTAAATGCTCTTTGTCAATTCAGAGTATATCATTTTCAGGGTCTGTGGATTAAAGAGTCCTGTGACAGAAATTTTCAATGCTTGTTGATAGGGAACTTCTGAAGGAGCTATTCACCTCTATTTTATCAAACACCTGCTTTCTAAAAAGATGTCTTATATTAATATGTAAAGGAGTCTGAATAATTTTTGGCAGAAAAGTCCTTGAGGCTATACTCGGGAAAAGATACTCTGGATTTGATATGTATGAAGATGTGTTATTCAGCATTGCAAAGCTATAATATACCTTATTTGTGGTCCACATCTTTTCCTTTTGCTTTCTTTGTAATCAGTGATAATATACCATAAAATAGAAACCCTATTATAAAATACTAAGGATAAAGGGAAACACTTAAAAACAGAAACATCATTATTACCTGATTTTTTCCCCTTGCATTGAGCTAAAAATAAGCAAAGGAAAAAAAAAAAAACAGAACAAAAGAACACATCAGATATTCACAGTGTTAAGAATCTTCTGTTTTTTTGGAGGAAGAAAAAAAAATCATGCCAAGGAAGGAAAAAAAACTGGTAGAGCTGACAACAGAATTGCCTTATAAAGTGAATGTCTATGTTCACTTAAATATGCCAGTTGTACTTATCCCATTATCAAACTGATGGGAGGGAGGAGTAGGAAAGTGGGGAGAAAAGATATGGCTCATTATTTTTTTGGCTTAAACATTATTTTTATTATAGTAACTATTATTCACAACATAGTAGTGAGTGTAGAAAGTTGATCTTTGGGTTTTTTCCCAGCTTTATTGAGGTATAATTGACAAAAATTATATATTTACAGCATGTAAATAATGTTTTGATGTACCTGTACATTGTGAAATGATTAACAAAATCAAGCTAATTAACACATTAACACCTCACGTAGTTAGCTTTTTGTGTGTGTTGTAAGCTCTTATCCCCTTAGCAAATTTCAGGTATTAACTCTGTTAGTAGTATTAACTCTAGTCATCATGTTGCACCTTACATCTCCGGAGCTTATTAATTCTGCAAACTGGAACTTTGTACCCTTTGACCAGTATCTCCCTATTTCTCCCACCCCCTAGTTCTGGCAACCATTATTCTACTCTCTGCTTCTGTGAGTTCTACTTACTTAGATTCCACATATAAGTGAAATCTGCAGTATTTGTCTTTCTGTGCCTGGCTTAGACTTAGCATATGTTCCTCAGGTTCATCCATTTTGTTGCAAGTGACAGAATTTCCTTTTTGAAGGCTAAATGATATTCTTGTGTGTGTGTATCATTTTCTTTATCCATTCTACCATTCTTTATCCATTCCTATTGGTGAACCCTTAGGTTGATTCCATATCTTGACTAATGCGAATAATGCTGCAATGAACATGGGAGTGCAGATATTTCTTTGAGATACGGATTTCATTTCCTTTGGAAATCCACCCAGAAGTAGAATTGTTAGATCATATGGTAGTTCTATTTTTAATTTCTTTAGGAATCTCCATATTGTTTTCCATAATGACTGTACTAATTTACATTCCTACCAACAGTGTACAAGGGTTCTCTTTTCTCCACATCCTTGCCAACACTATCTTTTGTATTTTGGATAATAGCTATTCTAACAGGTGTGAGGTGATGTCTTGTGGTTTTGATTTATGTTTGGCTGATGATGAGTGATATTGAACACCTTTTCATGTACTTGCTGGCCCATCTGTATGTCTTTGGAAAAATATGCATTCAATTCCTCTGCCCATTTTTTGTTTGTTTGTTTGTTTTTATTTTTTTTAATATTTATTTATTTTTGAGAAAGAGACAGAGTGTGAGCAGGAGAGGGCAGAGAGAGAGGGAGCTACAGAATCCAAAGCAGGTTCCAGGCTCTGAGCTGTCAGCACAGAGCCCGACGCAGGGCTCAAACTCATGAACCATGAGATCATGACCTAAGCCGAAGCCGGACACTTAACCGACTGAGCCACCCTGGTGCCCTGGACATGGCTTTGTTTTTATAAGAGGACTTAG